GAACACAGCCACACACCCTACCGAGGGTGATACCTGAACATAGCCACACCCCCTGAGTGGGTGATACCAGGAACACAGCCACACCCCCGAGTGGGTGATACCTGGAACACAGCCACACCCCCTGAGTGGGGATACCTGAACACAGCCACACACCCCCGAGTGATGATACCAGGAACACAGCCACACCCCCTGAGTGGGTGACACCAGGAACATGCCACACCCCGAGTGGGTGATACCAGGAACACAGCCACACCCCCCGAGTGGGTGATACCTGGAACACAGCCATACACCCCCGAGTGGGTGATACCAGGAACACAGCCACACACCCCCGAGTGGATGATACCAGGAACACAGCCACACCCCGAGTGGATGATACCAGGAACACAGCCATACACCCCCAGTGGATGATACCACACAGCCCACTCCCCGAGTGGGTGATACCTGAACACAGCCACCCCCGAGTGGGTGATACCTGGAACACAGCCACACACCCCCGGAGTGGATGATACCAGGAACACAGCCACACCCCCTGAGTGGGTGATACCTACCTGAACACAGCCATACACCCCGAGTGGGTGATACCAGGAACACAGCCACACACCCCGAGTGGGTGATACCTGGAACACAGCCACGCACCCCCGAGTGGATGATACCAGGAACACAGCCATACACCCCGAGTGGATGATACCAGAACACAGCCACACACCCCCTGAGTGGGTGATACCTGGAACACAGCCACACCCCGAGTGGGTGATACCTGGAACACAGCCACACACCCCGAGTGGATGATACCAGGAACACAGCCACACCCCGAGTGGGTGATGCCAGAACACAGCCACACACCCCGAGTGGATGATACCAGGAACACAGCACACACCCCCGAGTGGATGATACCAGGAACACAGCCACACCCCCGAGTGGGTGATACCAGGAACACAGCCATACACCCCCGAGTGGGTGATACCAGGAACACAGCCACACCCCCGAGTGGGTGATACCAGGAACACAGCCATACACCCCCGAGTGGGTGATACCTGGAACACAGCCACACCCCCGAGTGGGTGATACCAGGAACACAGCCATACACCCCCGAGTGGGTGATACCTGGAACACAGCCACACACCCCCGAGTGGATGATACTTAGACCTCAACCAAACATCGGCGAGTGGATGACTATTTTAAAACATACATTTATACAATTTACTTCTTCTTGGTCACGTAAATGCTCATTAAGACATGGCGGTCTGTCATTACACTAAACTCAATCATATATAACAGTAAACATACGTCACGGAGACAAACTATATGACCATTTTAATAACCTCGTATAATACTGTCGCAGAAATAAGTTTATCGTTATATTTTCTCCTATAAATCAATATAGAAAATATGCATAAAGTGACTGGGCAGAAACGCATCATATTTGCCATCTCGACGCCGCACTTTATGTAAATGAATCCCGTAGAACTGAAGGACCATTACGGCTTGTAGGTACACGGCACAGTTTAAACTAACTCTGTTTTAGGTACCCAAAGAGGCAGTTTGGCCGGCGTAAATTATTATGTTCTGGTGATCTATCTGTAATGTAATTATTTTTCTCTTTTGCTAAAGGATATACTGTACAAAACCAGTTGGTGTACACTTTGTGGCATTATTCGAGAAAAGATATCCTTCGTAGGCTCCACTGGGGAACCACGGGCCTCACCAAAGTTTCCTTACCAACCGTTCCGGTAATATGGATTTGTATGGTTGCGATGCTTACCAACAGCGTCATGAAAGGCGACTGTGAAATCGGCCCTAAGAGACGCCCTCCTTGTTCCGGGAAGGCTCACCAAGATTTGATTGGATCCAGATTCAATCCCAAATTGTGAAAAGGCAAAGAAAAATGACTTTTGCATATTGTGATGCACTCTCGACCTGATCTTTGGTAATCGCAAGAAACACTGGGCATCATGGCAGTTCCAAGAGGATGCATGATGCTGCTATGGTACAGTATGTAACTTAACAGATTATGTAATAATGGCATAAAGGAATTTAAAGTTCCGATAGAGTTAATAATATATGCACGTCACTATCTAGAAAATTACTGGACCAAGGAAATATTCAGAGAGACTTTATACAGCAAATGTGATCCTGCTCTTCAACACTGGAGGTAACGGTGATGTACTCAGTTACTGGAGACGCAATACTCACCAACAAGTACAAAAACAATGACAATTGATATATAAAACTGACTTAGACATACCTGAAGTGTGATGTGTTGTGGTGTGTTACGGTCCCTCGAGAAGCTGTGAACATTCAGCTAATCTGGAAAAAAAATAATATTAACCTACAATCCCACTTTACTCTTATAATCACGTTCGTAAAGGATGTGTTTCTTTTAAAGTAAAAATGTTTATTATGTGGGAGGCCAATAAATAATAACCATGAACCTACAGAAGCCACCCAAACCCTAACCAAATCATGAGATATGTTAACTCATTAAGTATGGTTTTATTGCCTTGTGTTGTGTGTCATCATTACTGCTAAAGACCTTCAACCTTCCTGACGGAGTTTTCATGGCAAGATCATAAAGTTCTGAAGGGAAACTCTACAGTATATATTTAATTGTCCTACATTTTCTATTTCTCTTCTACTACATAGGCATCTGTGTATTACAACAAATGTGTTCAAAAAGATCACCCCCCACCCACCCCACCCCCCCACAAAAAAAAAAATATATGTATACTATAATAATAAGGGTTAGGTTAGGTTAGGTTTAAATAGTCACTTTTTTGTTGTAAAGTTAGGTTAAGATAAGTTAGAAGTTAAATTTGGATAAGTTAGGTTTGATTATATTAGGTTTAAGCAGTTCATTTTCTGTTGTTAGATATTATTTAGTCTCGTAGTGTTCGACCCGATTTTAAAGAGACTTGGACATTTTCATCAGGTCGTAATAAATTATTTTTATGAGAAGTTAGTCATGTTTGTTGTCTTAACCATGAACCATTAATGGCGACAAACGACCCAACCAAACCTGACCTGGCCCACCTAGCGGAAATTTATGGTAAAGCCATTTGGTTAGGTAAGGTTGGGTTTATTTGGTTCAATGCTAACAATATACAAGGTGCCCTTCCAAACTATCCACGTGTGTCAAATAGCTAAATAACTTATATTTGATGCGCAATTGTTTTTAAATTCCAGTTTACAATATTACTTCTCTCACTCCGCCGGCTGACAAAACGGGAATGAGGGATTACAGTTTCACAAATGTTGTATTATGGGTCGAGTCAGCTCCGGCCCACAACAGCTAGATCCTCACTGTACATCCTCATATTTAACACATTAACCTCAACAAATACAACCCGTGTTGACCACCACTTACCTCCTGATCTTATATTCCTTCACTGTGGCACTTGTTAACTCGACAACAGCGGCAAACAAAGTGACAGAAAATGATTACTAGCAAGTGTCGGAGCTTCATGGGAAGACTTCCACTGAATCTCTATCTTAGAATTTACGAAATATCTGATTCGTTGATCTAAAACCCCGTGTAATTCCTTTTATTTTTCAACAAATTATTCTATACATATATGAGACCTTTACTCTGCCAATTATAAAGACTATTATCCCGTGTGAATGAGATCACTGTAAGGAACACACTTCACCGCTCGTCATGAACCTCTGAAACAAACTTCCAACTCTTTCCTCATCAGTGTCTCAAAGGGTCCGTCAACTGTTAAGAAATTATAATATTGTTCTTATTTTGTTTATCTCAGTTTATTAACTAAGATAAAACAAAAACAAAACACATAATGAGATAAAACACAATTATATAAAATCGTCATATATCGTTGACAAGTGACAAAGGATTAGTTATATTTTTCAAATAAATGCTTTCGAAGACGTCCACCAGGCAGGACTACCAACACCAGAACAACGTACTAAACATATTATATAACATTCTCCTTATACTCTTCAATATTGTATAAATGTGTTATACAGACTGTAGGTAAACTCACTAGAGGGAGACAAGTCACAATTATGTCAACAACTTTGTGTTTCATGTACAATCAGCCAAAGATGCACCGCCCCCACCCTGAATCTCGTGCTCGCAATTTTACCTGGCAATACTTGGTAAAGGGAAGGCTGTATGTAAAGGTGATTGTGATTGGTGGATCTATTTTCGGCTGTATCTCTGTTAGGATAAATATTAAACAATTCAAAGTTAGAATTATTATAATAATAAACTATTCATTGTTATTTAAGGTCATAAGAAGTTTCCAAATGCTCTTATATTTGCTTAAATAATGAAGGAAATTTGATCTGAGAACCTTGTGGCAGTCCTCGTTTCTCGTTGTTGTTGAGTTGCCAATTCATTAATATAATTTCCTCTATATTTAACCAAATATAAAAACATTTGGAAGCTTCTCATGACCTTAAATAACAATGAATAGTTTATTATTATAATAATTCTACTTTGAATTGTTTAATAGTTATCCTAACAGTGATACAGTCGAAAATAGATCCACCAATCACCTTCACCGTTACATACAGCCTTCCTTTACCAAGTATTGCCAGGTAAAATTGCGAGCACGAGATTCAGGGTGGGGGCGGTGCATCTTTGGCTGACTGTACGTGTATACTTGTATAGGGAAGAACGGAATAAATGATATGGTAGACTCAACAATTTTTTTAAAGCGTTTCGGTAAGATCATGTAAAAATGATGATAATATATTAAGTAACTTGGTGAAATTCCTAAATATTTTAGTCAATTGATGAAGATCTTGATTGAAAAAGTTATAACTATACATAAAATGACTGAATTTCAAGGGATTTCACGAAAATTCTAGTTTCATAATCCTACCGTAATATATGTGTGTGTGTGTGTGTGTGTGTGTGTGTGTGTGTGTGTCAGAGATATCTCACCCAACCAGCATTTTGTACTCTCTCCCTCTCTCCTTCCTCTTCTCTTTTCACTCTCCCATCCCCTCACTCACTCACTCTCTTTCTCACACAGGTGTCGTGGATCAGGGTGTCCGACCTACACATCCTGACAGTGGCCCAGTACACCTACACAGCTGACGACAGGTTTGAGGTAATACACTCGCCAGACTCCAACTCTCAATCCTGGATATTGAAGATTAACTCAGTCCAACCTCGAGACTCGGGCCGCTACGAGTGTCAGGTCAACACACACCCCACTGACCCCATCACCTTCCCCGTCTACCTGTCCGTGTTTGGTGAGTATCGACCTAATTCTACCTGTCGGTGTTTGGTGAGTAGATTGATTACTATCTACCTAGTTCTACCTTATTATTATCTACCTGTCTGTTTTTGGCGGATATCTACCTTTTTCTACCTTATCATCTACCTATCCATTCTACCTGTCTGTGTTTGGTAAGTAGATAACCACTATTTTCTACCTCTTTCTACCTTTCTACCTTATCATTTACCTCGCCACTGACACATTATTAACATTTCTTGCATACTCTTAGGCTTAAACATCAATTTAACACTTACTTTGAACCTTTAAACTGAACCCTTAAAATTTCCCTCCCTCCTTCCCCCTTTCCCTTTCATTTCTACTTTTTTTCCTTCCTTTTCTTCCCGACACCCTTACCTCTCTCCTTCCTCCTTTCCTTTCCCCTTTTTCTTCCATACCTCTTTAACCCTCTCCTTCCTTCCTGCATTCATTCCTTCCTTCCTTCCTTCACCATCATATATCCTACGGCTAGAAAAAATTGCTAAATAACTAGATTAAGATTGTGTGTGTGTGTGTGTGTGTGTGTGTGTGTGAAACTCGTATCTATCAATGATAAGTAATGGAGTTCCCTGGAGCCATCAATCGGGCGTCAACGTGTGTATCCCTGGCGTCAACCACACCATCAATCTCTACTCTGGCGTTGGTGATTGATGCCGCACTTTGGTGTTGCTGTGGCAGAGACGAGGAACTACTTGGTGTTGCGGACCACTAACTCCGTCATCGTCCTTCTTGTTGATGGCGACCGTGTATCACTCCGCCGGTGTGGGAGGGACGGAGGGAGGGAAGGATGGAAGGAGGGTAGGGGAAGGATGGAAGGAGGGTAGGGGAAGGATGGAGGAGGGTTAGGAGGGAGGGAGGGAGGAAGGTAGGGGAGGGATGGAAGGGAGGGAGGGAGGGAAGGAGAGAGGGTATAAGGAGGGAGTGGAGGGTGTGAGGGAACCAGGGTGTGATGGAAGGAGAGAGAGGCAAGGGAGAGAGGGAGAATGTGAGGGAGAATGTGATGGTGGGAGGGAGAGTGTAAGGGAAGAAGGGAGAAAGGGAGAGAGGGAGGGAGAAGAAGGATCATTTACAGCAGTAAAATATGTATCGCAACATCGACCAGCAGGAGGGAGAACCGTGGCATTGTGGCCTTGACGTTCATCTTAGATTAATGAGGACCTTAGTTCGATCCCCGCCTGAATTCCTGGCCCGGGGTGTTGTCGTCAGTTGTACGGTATTGATGGAGTCCTGCCAAACATCCTACACGGAGGTCCTACGAATATAAAAGAGTTACAATAAAAAAATATAAATCTTTTTTTTTCTGTCAAATGAACTTCACCTGACTTAATAAAAACCCGAATAAAACCCTAAAACAAAGTAAAAACAATAAAAACATTAAAAAAAAACCTGGAAGTTACAAAGGACAAAAGATCCATAATCACATTAATGGAATACTACTATATAGATTCCATTTCCTAAAGGCACCAATGCTTTCCCTTTGCTGCTCTCCCATTGGCTGCTTGTTCTCCACCAACGCCCGCTGATTGGTCGGCTGAAGCACAGATGGTGTTTGGTCGTGCTTTTACCTTTTGTTTTACTCGTAAAAAAATTTCCCAAAGGACTGGAATTTTGGTAAGTGGATGGTGTGTGTTGAACTGTGTGTGTGTGTGTGTGTACCACTCACTACCACACCATCTCTCCTCCTTCACCACCACCACCACATCTCTCCTCCACCACACCATCTCCCCCACCAACAGATCAAAGCAATGTTCACGACACACACACACACACACACACACACACACACACAAAGGCGTGTTAGGGAACCTTTCACTTCAAGACTTGGATCTGTGTCGTGTGGCGGGTGTGATAGACGTGTCTCATTGGCCCAACTTATCCTGCCTGACTGACATGACGACACACAAAGAAGATTGTGTCTGTGATCCAGCACACACACACACACACACACACACACACACACACACACACACACACACACACACACACACACACACACACACACACACACACACACACACACGAGTCGTCCGCAAAATTTTATCTGCATCATGAATTTAGATTTTTCAGAATAAATTTGGTGTCATCGCTATAAATATTAGTAACACAGAAGATAGATATAGCACAGCACACAGCTACAACACAGCACACAGCACAACACAGCACACAGCTACAACACACAGCTACAACACAGGAGACAGCTACAGCACACAGCACACAGCACACAGCTACAACACAGGAGACAGCTACAACACAGCACACAGCTACACAGCACACAACACAGCACACAGCTACAACACAGCACAGCACACACACACAGCTACAACACAGCACATCAATAATACGGTACACAGCACAACACAGCACACAGCTACAACACAGCACACACAGCTACAACACAGCACACAGCACAACACAGCACACAGCTAGCAACACAGCACACAGCTACAACACAGCACACAGCTACAACACAGCACACAGCTACAACACAGCACACAGCTAGCACACAGCACAACACAGCACACAGCTACAACACACAGCACACAGCACACACACAGCACACAGCACAACACAGCACACAGCTACAACACAGGAGACAGCTACAACACAGCACACAGCACACAGCACACAGCTACAACACAGCACACACAACACAGCACACAGCACAACACAGCACACAGCACAACACAGCACACAGCTACAACACACAACAGCTACAACACAGCACACAGCACAACACAGCACACAGCTACAACACAGCACACATCAATAATACGGTACACAGCACAACACAGCACACAGCTACACACAGCACACAGCTACAACACAGCACACAGCACAACACAGCACACAACTACAACACAGCACACAGCTACAACACAGCACACACACAATGGTACACAGCACAACACAGCACACAGCTACACACAGCACACAGCTACAACACAGCACACAGCACAACACAGACACAGCACAACACAGCACACAGCACACACACACAGCTACAACACAGCACACATCACACTACACAGCACAACACAGCACACAGCACACAGCACAGCTACAACACAGCACACAGCACAACACAGCACACAGCACACACACAGCACACAGCTACTACAGCTTACAGGAGACAGCTACAACACAGCACACAGCTACAACACAGCACACATCACACGGACACAGCACAACACAGACACAACACAGCACACAGCTACAACACAGCACACAGCTACAAAACAGGAGACAGCTACAACAAAGCACACAGCACAACACAGCACACAGCTACAACACAGGAGACAGCTACAACACAGCAACAGCTACAACAGGAGACAGCTACAACACAGCACACAGCTTCAACAGAGAACAGCAGCAATGTAGTCAAAGGGTGAAACACAGCGTGAAGTGAATCCTGATGTTTACGTGTGTTATGAGGGAAGGGAGGGAGGAAAGGGGAAAGGAGGAGAGGATGAAAGGGGAGACGAGGAGAGGAAGAGAGAGGGAAGGAGAGGGGACCAAGGGGGAGAGGAGGAAGGGGATGAGACGAGGAAGGGAGAGGGGAGAGGAGAAGGAAATAGAGGGGAGGAAAGGAGGGAGGCAAATGGAGAGGAGGAGGAGAAGGGAGAGGAGGAGGGAAGACGGAATGGAGGAAAGGAGAGGAGGAGAAGGAGAGGGGGGGAGGGGGGCAATGGGAGAGGAAGGAATGAGAGGATAACGATGAGGAACGGAGACGAGTTGAGAGAGAGAGAGAGAGAGAGCGAGAGAGTTAAGTTTACGAGTAAAATATCACAGGTCTATCGCACCATAGTAAACCCCAAGAGTGTTTAAATAAACCTGGCCAGACTTGAACGGTTCTCAGCGACCATTTTTCTTAGCTATCAAGCCTTGGCAGATGTGTTTATGGGTATTCTGTCCAGCGTGTGTGTGTGTCTGTGTGTGGGTGCTCTCTCTCTCTCTCTCTCTCTCTCTCTCTCTCTCTCTCTCTCTCATTATTTCTTTTATTTTCTTTCAATTTCTCTGTCTCTCAGTACTTTTTTTAATTCTCTCTCTTTATCTTTTCTCTCTCTCTCTCTCTCTCTCTCTCTCTCTCTCTCTCTCTCTCTCTCTCTCTCTCTCTCTTACTTCTGCCTGGCCTGACGTCCTGGTTCTCTCTCCTTCTCTAACTTTTAGTTGATATGTGTGAGCAAGTTCAGAGTCTCTTGATTTCCCACGGTGATTCCTAATTTCCCACGCTAACTCAATATTTCCCACGGCCATTCTATTTTTTTCCCACGTTAAGTCAATATTTCCCACGGCGATTATGTTTTTCCCACGTTAAATCAATATTTCCCACGGTCATATTATTTTTACCACGCTAACCCTATTAATTCCCACGGTGTTTTAAGATTTCCTACGTTAACTCAAAATGTCTAAAATTTATTGATGCCTTTCCAACATTTATTAGTATATTTCCAACATTTATGGTGAATTTCCAAAAAAATTTCTTGCAGTATTTCCGGCATACGTTGGTGTATTTCCTACTTGTTGGTGATATCGGACTTATATTTACGTATATCCGATATTTATTAATGTATTTGTGATATTTGTTTGCGTATCCCGATATTCACTGGTGCATTCCTTCACATTTATCTGTATGACTCAAACGTATATTGTGTTCCACCGATATCTGTTGCGTATTACTTAGTGTTGTTGTTGTTGTATTATTGTTGTTGTTGACATTGTATTACTAATGCTATTGTTTTTGTAGTACTCATTCTTGTTGTTGTTGTATCACTTTAAGTTGTTGAAATACAGCTTTTATTGTATTATTGTTGTAGTTGTTGTATTACTTTTGTCTTCTTCTTCAAGTTATATCATAAAAAATAAAAACAAACTGAAACATACGATACAACACCAGACTACAAGACAAAAATAAAACAAGATTAGTTAGCCCCCAACATACGATAACTTATAACAAATTGTGATAACGCAAGGTAACGT